TATTTACAGAGAAAAGTTAACTACAACAATACTCTAACAATTTCCACGAAAAATCAAAAATCATCAATCATAATTATCAAATGAAATTCAAATAAAGGATATTTTCCATAGATCCAACAATTCAACAACTCCATTAAAATTATAATCACAACAATCCTAAGCTTTCTTTGCAAAATCTCTAGCAACATATATTTTTTCACGCGCAATTTATTTTTCTTTCCCCGAAAACAACTATGATTATTGAAAATCTCAAATGCGACTTAAACCACGATCTCGCTCTTCTATTCATCCCGTGATTAATGCGCAGTCTTAATTCCTTGGATTCCGCTAATTCTATTGCCCCACGTGATATAGAACCATGACCCAGACAAAGACATATTATTACTCCACCGCATAATAGCAAGGTCACCGAGTGTTCAGTTGTTATTGCCGCCGTCTCTGAAGGGAACAATGCCTGTATTTCCGTGTTTCACGCGAACGAAGAACCCGTGAATAACGTGATGTCTCCGTAAACAAACTGGTCGCCGTTCAGATTCTCCGCGTCGCCGGTTAAAAAAGTAACGACTCGATGGATTCGATATCCGAGCCTTCGTAACCGATACGAATACGCTTTTCAACCGAGAGTCGAGGAATCGAATGAAGATGAATATATCGATTTGAAAGATCCAAGTTCTCTCGACACGGTTCCAAACCATTCGTTTCCGCTTCAACTTTCCCCTTCTTTCTGGCCGAGGCCTGATTTTTCGCGTAAAATGAACTGTGATGAATCTTGATTTTTTTATTTTACATTGGAAAAGAGGAAATTTTAATCTTTCATTTTATTCGTATTCAAGGGAAAGAGTTTTCGTGGTAAAATAAAATAATGGAATTGAATGGAAATGAATTGCATTGGCAGTTATTTTAAATTATAATTGTGCGAAAGAAATGATTTTGGTTATGGAAAATATATTTACGAGAGGATTAATCAAAAGACGATTTATTAAGAGAAAGAAATTCTTATGAAGGAGGAAAGTATTTTAATTCTAATAATTGCGTTTAATTATACTAGTTGTCTATGTAGAATTGATTTTGTTGATATTATTCATTTTCAAACAGGATCAAATTGATTGAATTCTATTATCATCGAACGTAAAATATATCTGTGAAATATTGATCCTTTGAAGGATTAGTTGTGGATATCAAGATAAAGATAAAGTTGTACAGAAATATAAGTCGAGACTTGTTTTTCAAGTTATAAGCAATTTAATTTTCCACTAGAAGCACTATGTATAAGGTAACCTGAGACAGTGAACTCTGCTAGTTGTTCGTAGAGAATATTCAATATTCCGTTACAATATTACTTTCAAACTCGCTCGACGAAAAATTTTCAGAACCATGCGCTCGTATCATTTCAGATACGTATTTGCAACGATACACGTGGAGAAAAGGATATTAAATGCGAGTGAAAAAAACTTCCACATTTTCACATTTTGCTTATAAATTTAACATTTCGTTCTGTATCGTCGATAATACGGTGAAAAAGAAAAAATTGTAAAAAATTCTTAAAAAATGATGACGTTCCACGAAAATTCGTTCCACGTGTATTTGTAGAAAACACACATTTGGATACACGCGAGTTAATACAATTCGACGCTCATTGGTCCATGTGGAGGCAAGCCAGGGAGAGGGTGTTGTGCATCGAATCGATAACACGGCAAGATGGATGGACGTGTTAAATCGGACGGCTACAAAAGGAAGGAGGAAAACTGAAACGATGATCGTCGAGTAAACACGCTACAGCGAATTTTGTTTCTCTTAATAATCCTCTATCAAAAAATTAAATTTCACAATGAAAATATCCGTCAATGGGATTATATCCATAACGATGATCCTCGTAGCGATTCTTGACGCGGTGGATCGACGTTATATAAATTAACTAGATCGTTCGAACGCAAAAAGACATTGACCGAACGATGAAATATCTTCGAATAACTTTTGAATCACAAGACTATCCGTCGACGGGTTTAATTAATTAATAATAAATAACGATCCAACTCTCGGATTAATTTTTTAATTACCAGAGAGTGGAGAGCGTCTCGAATTATTTTCTCCAACGACAAAATTGGCGAGAGAATATTTTCACCGTCGTCGAGAGTTGAACGGGAATTTCAGAGTCGTATGTCTCTTCCAGCGACACGGATTCTCTTACGATCGAGCAAGTACGTCGGTCGTCGACGTTGAAAATAATGTCGGATTCGCGATTATCCTCGCCAAAAACGTGTCCATTTTTAGTGGCAATTTTCCAAACCAGAAATGTTGTTTTCGTTTCTCGCCTCTCGTTCCGACATTTGGCCAACAATGAAATCTGACTTTGGATATCTGTTTGCCGTTTCTGTTAATAGCCTTCCGGTTCCAACAGTTTGATATCTCGTCGAGAAGAGACGAGATTCGAGGAAGGAAACGACTGAAAAACAATTTTCGTTCGGCAAACAGAGGCTGGCGAGAATAACAAGGTCTTTCATATTCTATGCCAATAGGATTATTCTGAATCGAAGTTTTTTTACAATTATGTAAACTGTTTATGTTTCATTCGTTTCACGAACCAAGTTCCTCGAAGTTATTAAGTTTTTAGAATGCCAAATGACTTGTTGTTATTTGTATATGTATTATATTAGTTGTATCACGTGAAAGTCCAAATCATGGACTTTGAAATGATTTAATTAATTTCATCGTTTTATCGTAGAATATTGAAAAAATGATTGTAATTTTAGTCTTTGCAGGATTTATGCTTTCGTCGAGAAAATGACGAATAATAATAGAAATATTTGAATATTCTTTATCATAAGCTTGCTACGCTTCTACGCATTCTGTTGAAAAGATATTGGATTATTGATTTAAATTATTCGTATTCGTAAAAATTCCACGAAATCATTCATTTTTGTTTAAAATATATTTCTTCGTTATTAATATAATAAACGGATAAATTTTTACAATATCGTTATATAAAATGAATTCTTCAGATATAAAATAATTTTTCAGACAGAATATAGATAGATAGATGAACAGATTCTTTAACAACCTTAACTTGTATTTCTCGTTCTAAAAGCGATACTCCATCATATACATCATTATACTTATTTATTACTTCATCATTATCCAGGAAAATTATCTAAATGCAAACGCAGAAGTTGCACACGCACAAGATTGTTCCTTTGACTGATGGCGACTGATAGATGGAAAAGTTTCTAGACACGATGATTAATGGAACTAGTTCAATATTACCTATAATCTTGCTAAAAGATTCACAACGAAATTCTTCTCAACACTTGCCCAAGTTTAATTAAATTTTTTTCGAACACACCTTCTTGTCCAAGCAATGTTTTACAAATATCAAACTGGGCGAGGGGGCAGTCATGACATTTCGACTTGGTAATTTACTTTTCTGTATGGGACGTTAAAGCTAGTTCTACCAGTTTTCTAGGTCGGATACAAAGTTTTTAAATCGTCCCCCCTTCGAATTTCCAACCGGTCTCGTAAAAAACAAGTTTCCTACATTTTAACTTGCTTCAACTTGCTTCAACAAGCCAGTTGTTGGAACATCCACGACACTACCTTTATTTTTAGTTAAACCACTCGCGGAAAAGTTTGCGCGGTTATAAATTAAAATTTAGAAGTTTATGTGGCATTGTAGAGGACAGTGCAATTAAGTAATTTCGATATTTCAAATGTTATCACGTTTTCGCGTCCATCCTTTTAACACAAGGTTTCGTGAAAAAAAAAGGAAAGGAAAGAATAAAATTTGTTCACTTGAAACTTTGAAGGTCCGTTGTTGTTTGCTCGAGTAAAATTTATTTTTTCATCATTCTCGTGCATAAAGCGACTTAATTATATTTTAATAAAATTACTATTACTTTCTTTTGTAAAATTTTTTCTTATTAATTACACTTTTAAACTTTTCTCCATATTCGCAAGAATAAACATTATATTACATTATATCAATCGCCATTAGACAATTCGAAGGATTAAATTCGAAGCGTGAACCAGATTCCCGAGAGGACATCATCGTTCACGCGGAGATTGTTCCGTCAATAGCTCTCAATTTCGAGAATTGATCTGTCCCAAGGGTTGGTTAGAGAACTTTTAAATCGTTAGCCGTCTGTTATCGTATTTGTTCGATCGTGTCGGCCGAGTTTCGATTTTGACTCGGTGCATGTATAAGCTCGAACTAGATGGAAGAAAATTATAGCCGTTCGAGATTAATTCATCAAAACTGTGTAACGTTTTTGAAGAATTTCTGAACATCGTGGAAAATCAGTTAATTTTTCACGTTGCACCAGATTCGCGATAAAAACAAATCAATATGATGGTTCTATAGAACCAGAGGATAAAAGTTTCAAAATAATCGGTATCGATTGGAAAATTTTATCAGATTTGAGTGAAATTCGTCAAAGGATAATGCATTCGTGAATATTGCAGTCACGAGACAATAACTGTTTTTTTTACGAGCACACTCGTAAATGCGCGTTCGATGCCCAAGGGTAATTTTCGAAACTTGGATCCAAGTTTTTCAAGCCCGAAGAAAAGAGGCGATTTCGAGTTTCGGTATCTTTACGACCTAAATATTTCTTCGTGTCTATAAAAACGTCGAGAGCGTACTTTCTTAAAGGAATACGTCGAGGTTGATTTGATGTACGGAGAACTAGAGAAAAACGTTGAACGAGAAAAATGCAAGATTTCTT